TTTTTTCAATTAGAGTGTAATTGTTTTAATGTGTATCGAATATTGGAATTATAGACTGAATTGAAGATGAAGGCACTACTAAAATGCTAACCATGAATGTTTCTTCTGTTTAGTAATTGCTGTCTGATGGCTGAACAAAAATCGAATCAAGTATGGCAGCATTTCACCGAGCCAACTCCAGGGAAAGCCAGGTGCAATATCTGCAATGGACTGGTGAGCTTGGGAGCTGAAAAAGGTAAAAAGAAAAACACCACAAATTTGTGGAGTCACCTGAGGTGTCACCACCTCCAGGCTTACAAAGATGCACAGAAAGAAAAAGAAGACGCAGCTGCCTCAACAGCCAATGTATCTCAGCCAACTCTAACAGAAATGTTTGATGCCCAATGTAAATGGCAGAATTCGGATCCCAGGTCAAAAAAACTTGACACTTTAGTTACGGAAATGATTGCCACAGACAATCAGCCATTTACATTTGTCTCAGTTATTGGTTTTCGGAGGCTGGTGGCTGCAATGGAGCCCAGATCCAACCCGCTAAGTCAAGTGCACGAAAACCAGTTGGTTACTTGAGGACTTTGTTTTATATAAAAATGCAGAAAGTTGCAAAAAGCAGAAAGTTAGAATGCACTTTAGATGTTCCGTGTCATTTATACCAAACATAAATGTTGCTGGTTGCTAGTGTGTTTGCAGCACTACCATTATTTATTTTTTATATATTTTATATTTTTCAGTTTAATTGATTTTTATTTATAAAGTTGTATTTATTTTATTTAAATGTATATTTAAGTTTACATTTATGTTCCAACAAACTTGAAAAATTCTGCTTGATAAATGCTCTAAAACTTTTATGTAAATGATTGACTTTTTTTTTTTATATTACCTATTTTATATATTTAATACTTGGTAAGTTTATTGATTTGTTTGGTTAACTTTGGATAAATATTTTATTTTAATACCGTGCAGTGCACAAAATTAAGATTCGAGAGATAGTTTAAGTCAGTGTTCAATAAATGATGATGTTAAGTTTAGAAATGTTGTGCATCCACTTATTATTAGTGTGACATTTTAGCATGCAAATGAAGGGGAAAACTTCAAGATATCGGCCCTAAAAATCGGCAGCACATATCGGCCATCGGCTGACCCTGACCTCTAAACATCGGCATCGGTTATAGAAAAACCCATATCGGTTGATCTCTACCCATGACCATGGCTTTGACATATTATGGATATATTAAAATATAATTTTAAGGAAATTAAAGTAGATGTTCTTTGCAAGAAAAACAATTATTTTAACCTGTTAAAGGTACTATTTTCTGCACTTTTGAAACCTACATTCTCTTCTCACTCACATGAGATGACAAGTCCAGTTAATCATGGCTACTGTGTTTGCATTTACATTTGTGTCTATTAATTGTGCATTATAAATAATATCAAGACACCTGTGATGACAAATGTTTGTTCAGGTACATAAGAGAGACACAATTATTGCTGACAAACAGTTTTAATGGTCTGAAACAGGAATGAATGAATAATGACACATGCAAGTTTGCACATTTAACATGTTTGAACACTGTTACAAAAAACATACGTTTACCATGTACGGCTTTGAGGGTGCGGTGTAGAAAAATAGTCATAAAAGCATTCTAAACTGCTTAGTTTTAATCTTGTACAAATGCAATAGGTTGTTTCTCTTCTAAACCTTGTTAAACTTGTAACCATAATATAAAACTTCTCTTGAAATGTGAGCAAGTTGACATACAAAAACATCATCGTGTTTTGTTGACACATTTATAGTTCACAAATGCTTTTCCTTTGGGGAAATATTATAAAAGTAAAAAGTAAATATTTGAAATAACTTTTTATACATTTTTTTCTTTAAAATCAATTAGAAAATATAGGTCAATTTATCCAATAATAACTTGCATAGCTGGTAAAACATGGTAATAGTGCAATAATAAAATGGGGCTAATCTTATATCCAATTATATACATGTAAATAATAAAGTATATTTATAATGTTGTGTACTATAAAACTAAATGAAGTCAAATAATAGAACCCAACAGCTTTAAAACTTCACATAACTTTCCATTTTCCACTCAATCCAATCATCTTATAAGTGCATGCATCCACTTCCAGATCAATCTCAAATATAACACTCTTTGGAGATCTTGTAAAAACATTTATATGTGGGCAAATGTTGAAAACAGCCTAAATTCTATTGCTAATTAAATGCAAATGATCACTTTCCCCTTTCAGTTTCATTCTGCTTTCTCAAAGCAGGTCTTGCTTATCCAATCTGACATGCCAGAGCATACAAAAGCATATAAAATAGAAAAATACTTCTCAAAACAGTATTTGCATCACTTTGGTTATATAATCACCTAGAACAAATTCAAAAATTATGTTTGAACAGGAAAGAATGAACGTGCTAATATTTTAACATAGCTAAAAAGTACCACTGTACTGTTAATCTTAGGTGAACAAACAAATGTGTATAAATCGCTATAGATTCCTTCTGAAGAAATACTGAGAGAGATGAACGAAACAACATGAGTTACTTTAAAGGAATACTTTGCCCAGAAATTAAAATTTGTTGAATATGTACTCACCCTCAGGCGATCCCAGATTTAGATGAGAGTTTCTCCATCACAACATAATTGGAGAAATTTAGCATTTCATCACTTTCTCACTAATGGATCCTCTGCAGTGGATGGGTGCCGTCAGAATGAGAGTCCAAACAGCTGATAAAAACATCACAATAATCCACAAGTAATCCACACATCTTCATTCGACCAGTTAACATCTTGTAATGTGAACCAAAAAATAAACCCATCTTTAAGGCATTTTAAATTTAAAACCATTTAAAAAATCAATCTCCTGTTGTCCCCTCATCAAAATCCTTCAACATATTTGTTTAGAACTGTTGGTGACTGTTTTGTTTGTAAACGGTGCTTGCTCTGTGCATATTTCTCTCCCGATTCCGACGAGACAACATTTTCACTGGAGGAAGCAATATTATGGGTACTTGTATTTTAGCCATTATTTTAAACATCTAAATGGATTTGTTTCTTACAAACACAAAGCCTTTTGCTTCACAAGACATTCATTGATGGACTGGAGTCATGTACATTACTTGTGAATTATTATGATGTTTTTATCAGCTGTTTGGACTCTCAATCTGACGGCACCCATCCACTACAGAAGATCCATTAGTGAGCAAGTGAAGTAATGCTACATTTCTCCAAATCAGTTCCCATGAAGAAACAAACTCATCTACATCTTGGATGGCCTGAGGCTGAGTACATTTTCAGCAAACGTTCATTTTTGGATGAACATTAAACTCGATAAAACTTGATACAAACTTTGAAATCCTGAATAACAGGAACTGAAACTCTCGGGGCGAATGCTTTTACACTGTTTGAATCCCAACACTAAACTGAAATGACTTCAGGTTGTATAATACTGTCCTTTATCTGCTACCTAATAATGATGTTATACTGTGTAAGGTTAGTATGTTACTAGACTCAATCATTTTTGTGATGTTTAAAGTGCCCAAAAAGGACACCGCAAATGACTTCAAGAAAAACAAAGACTTTAATGTCTCACATGTGAGAAGACCAGAATATCAGAAAAAACTATGACTGTCAGAAAAGCAAAACAGAAAGTAACTATGGGGGGAACGCATGACACCTTCCTTCGCGGCCCATCTGTTCCACACCTCTGTTCTGTGATATTCAGTAAGGTGTAGTTCCTTCCCACTCCACCAAATACTGCACCTTGCCTTCAGGTGTGATCCTGCGAGCCAGAACCTGATACTTCTCCCCGCAGGTGAGCCGACCGGCCGCCCCAAAATAGCTGGTGATGGAAGACTTGAGGTGAGACAGTGAGGAATCGTCCTCCCTGATGCTCTCAAAGGTGTGGCTGTTGATGCTGTTCTCCATCATGACGTTACTCTCTTCTCCAGGCATGCTGATGGGGCTCAGCTCACGCTCCACCATCTCTCTTTTTGTGGCCAGCACGGTGTAATTAGAGGAGGGCAACTTCCTCTTCCGACTGCCCACATTTTTCCTGTAAAGAATGTAAGAAGCATAAGTACTTGCCTTTCACAATTTTTTCAAATTCAACAATTCTAAAAACAAACTTATAAACAATAAGCTCATATAAACAATTTGCAGAGGTGGGGGAAAATGATATCTTCACAATACAATCCTGTAATCAAATCATGTTCATGATGGAATATGTGCTCTTTATTTACTGTATATAGCCTGCTATCATTTTATATTTTAAAAAGAACATATATTATAATTTAAGGAAAGTGAGGAAAAAATAAAAATAAACAACCTTTCAAAAGTTTAGGTCTGTAATTTTTATTTTTTTTGAAAGAAATTAATCATTTTTATTCAGCAGGGACACATGCAATTGACTTAAGATTTATCAAAGATTCTTGAAAAAATGTATCATGGTTTCAACAAAAATATTAAGCAGCACAACTGTTTTCAACAATAATAATAATAATAATGTTTGTTGAGCAGCAAATTAGCATATTAGAATAATTTCTCAAAGATCATGTGACATTGAAGACGGGAGTAATCGAAGACCGAGAAAATTCAGCTTTTTATTTATTTATTTATTTTAAATTACATTTTAAAATTGATTAAAATAGTTATTTTAAACTGCAATAATATTTCACAAATATTACTATTTTTACTGTATTTTTTATCAAATAAAGGCTGCCTTGGTGAGCATAAGAGACTTTTAAAGACATTTTAATATTTTACTGACCCCAAACATTTGAAAGGCAAGTTCAATAAATTAATATAAGATAAAGATGTCCTGATATTCCTAATAATAATAATAATGTTTGTTGAGCAGCAAATTAGCATATTAGAATAATTTCTCAAAGATCATGTGACACTGAAGACGGGAGTAATCGAAGACCGAGAAAATGCAGCTTTTTATTTATTTATTTATTTTAAATTACATTTTAAAATGGATTAAACTGCAATAATATTTCACAAATATTACTATTTTTACTGTATTTTTTATCAAATAAAGGCTGCCTTGGTGAGCATAAGAGACTTTTAAAGACATTTTAATATTTTACTGACCCCAAACATTTGAAAGGCAAGTTCAATAAATTAATATAAGATAAAGATGTCCTGATATTCTAGCCATAAAACAAATGGCTTAGTATGCATTCTGTATGTTGCAAATATAAAAAGATTATTATAGTTTATTTTAAATGCCAGTTAAAAATGTGCACTACTCTTGGTTCTGCTTGAAAACTCATGTATTATTTGTTGTATTATCCAGTGAATAAATATGAAAGAATCTTTAAAGAGATGAAATTCTGTAAATGCACTAATACTGTCTACCACACGATGTCCCTGTTTAACACTGAATTTTACTTCCTAGCCTTTCGTCCCCTTTCACTTGCCTCTGTGGGCGTTATGCCATTTTAAAGGTCATGCAGCAGAACTGGACTTTTAGGTTTTTTTTTTTTTTCTCATGCTGCGAATCTTCTGGGGAGTTTCCAATCTGCATAAACCCCATAATGACCACGCATTTCTGCCCAAGGGCATGTGTAACATGGGAAATCACAGCAAGATATCAAAATCCGATGCTGAGAACCTCCATTTCAGAAATCATTACAGCTGCTAAAAACAAATGGCTTAGTATGCATTCTGTATGCTGCAAATATAAAAAGATTATTATAGTTTATTTTAAATGCCAGTTAAAAATGTGCACTACTCTTGGTTCTGCTTGAAAACTCGTGTATTATTTGTTGTATTATCCAGTGAATAAATATGAAAGAATCTTTAAAGAGATGAAATTTTATAAATGCACTAATACTGTCTACCACACGATGTCCCTGTTTAACACTGAATTTTACTTCCTAGCCTTTCGTCCCCTTTCACTTGCCTCTGTGGGCGTTATGCCATTTTAAAGGTCATGCAGCAGAACTGGACTTTTAGGTTTTTTTTTTTTCTCATGCTGCGAATCTTCTGGGGAGTTTCCAATCTGCATAAACCCCATAATGACCACGCATTTCTGCCCAAGGGCATGTGTAACATGGGAAATCACAGCAAGATATCAAAATCCGATGCCGAGAACCTCCATTTCAGAAATCATTACAGCTGCTAAAATGGGACGTAGAGCTAAACAGCATTAGTACATGAAAGCCAAGCATGGAAAGCAGATATGTGTCTGTGAAGTGTTTGATCTAGCCCACAACGAGGATGCACAGTAGGGGACAGGGATCTGTCGACCCCTCACAACTTTTCCAGTCGAGAAAATCCAAGTTGTGTTTATTTTCCTCCACCCTCTCTCTCCGCCTCTTTCCAAACACCCTTAGGAGCATTGCAAGAATACTAATGAGCGTTCATATCCTAAAATAAATAAGACAAACTATGGGAAAGATATCAAAGAGTGAGTGGGGCCGTTTGGCAGTCTCCAACCAGCCAGCCAGCCAGCCATGTTCTGCGCGCAGGCCTTTGCTTTCTTTGGTCGCGGTTTCTCCAGGCCTAGCGCAGCGGGTGACAAAACAAAAACAAAAATACAGGACAAATATAAGGGATTGCTAACTGTATGACTAGCAGGAAGATGATGAGCTTCTGAAGAAGTGGTGACTTAAAGCAGTGATTCAACAGAGACATTTCTCAATGAAAATAAAGCTTTGTGAGGGAGGCTAAAAGAACAGGTCAAGAGACTAGAGAAGGAACAGAAGTGTACAAGAAGTTTATCATTATTTTCCCCAAAATTATTTTGAATCTCAAGTAGATGTAAATGAGATTTTAGGGATATGGCGATGACATGAGAGTGAGAAAAACATAACAGAATTTACATTATTTTTAGGTGAACTACTTATTTAAAGGATGTACTAATGTGTTTCATGCTGTCATGCTGTACAGTGCAGAAATAATGCTAAACAAGCAACAACAAAAAAAAACATTTAAAATATTACATTCTGTTTTTAAATTCAGGTTATGACTAGTTAAAATCTGGTTACTTTTGTATGATTCTTTTTCTTTTTTGCATTGATGAGATGGAATCGGTTTCACATATTTTACCATATTAATTGCATCATTCTGAATTTGACCCATAATCAGAAAATGTGAAAAATATTTGCAGATCACATCTGTGTCTGCCAGAAATGTCAGAAAACTTTGCAGATCAAAATCATGTCGAATTCATGCATCATATTTCTGCTTTTCAGCATTCTTAAACCTTTTAAATAATATCCATGACTTTTTTTTCTCCAGTCAGTCATTTTTTTAATTATAAAAATTTTATGAGTCTGCACTCAAAAAGAAATGTAATATTTTTGAACATGAACATTAATATAAAAATATACATTCATGTATCATGTATCACATTAAAAATGTATTTTTAATACTTTATATTTTAATCTTAAATATTATGATTTTGTTTTTACGATTTTTCATTACGTATTTTTTATATTTTTATAAACCAGTCAGTGACGATACTTTTACTCACCAATAACATTAAAATTAACACAAAAAAAATTATCCACAAAAAAATATTAAGCAGCACAACTGTTTTCAACGTTGATAATAAGAAATATTTCTTGAACAAATCAGTTAGAACGATATCTGTATCCGGAAGACACTGAAGACTGGAGTAATACTTGCTAAAAATTCAGCACATGAATGAACTACATTTTAATCCTTAATATTATTTAATAATATTACTTTTTACTGTATTTTTAATTAAATAAATGCAACCTTGGTAAGCATAAGTGACTTTTTTCAACAACATAAAAGAACATCTTACAGACCTACATTTTTGAACGTAAATTTACATATTTTTATTAGTGCTGTCAAACTATTAATTGCGATTAATCGCATCCAAAATAAAAGTTGTTGTTTACATAATATGTGTGTGTACTGTGTATATTTATTATGTTTATATAAATACATGCACATACAGTATATATTTTGAAAATATTTACATGTATACAGTGGGTACGGAAAGTATTCAGACCCCCTTAAAGATCCAGTGTTACATATATGTGCGGTGCAAATATATGTGAATCTTTGCTTTCAGTATCTGGTCTGACCCTCTTTTGCAGCAATAACTGCAGGTAAATGTTTCTTGTAACTGCTGATCGGCTTGTAGCAATTCTAGCCCCATCCTCAGTACAGAACCACTTCAACTCTGTGATGTTGGTGGGGTTCCTCCTATGAACTGCTTGCTTCAGCTCCTTCCACAACATTTCAATTGAATCAAGGTCCAGACTTTGACTCTGTCATTTCAAAACATTAACATTGTTCTTCTTTAACCATTCTTTGGTAAAACGTATGTTCTTGGGGTTGTTGTCTTGCTGCATCGCCCACTTTCTATTGAGACTCAGTCCTTGGACAGATGTCCTGATCTTTTCCTTCAGAATTTGCTGGTATAATTCAGAATTCATTGTTCCATCAATGATGGCAAGCTGTCCTGGCCCAGATGCAGCAAAACAGGCCCAAACCATGATACTACTACCACCGTGTTTCACAGATGGGATAAGATTCTTATGCTGGAATGCAGTGTGTTCTTTTCTCCAAACATAACGCTTCATTTAAACCAAAAAGTTCTATTTTGGTCTCATCCGTCCACAAAACATTTCTCCAATAGCCCTCTGGCTTCTCCACATGATCTTTAGCAAACTGCAGACGCGCAGCAATGTTCTTTTTGGACAGCAGTGACTTTCTCCTTGCAACTCTACCATGCACAACATGGGTGTTCAGTGTTCTCCTGATGGTGGACTCATGAACATTAGCCAATGTGAGAAAGGCCTTTAGTTGCTTAGAAGTTACCATGGGTTCCTTTGCGACCTTGTGGACTATTACACGTCTTGCTTTTGGAGTTATCTTTGTTGGTGGACAACTCCTGGGGAGTGTAACAATGGTCTTGAATTTCCTCCATTTGTACATCTGTCTGACTGTGGATTGGTGGAGTCCAAACTCTTTAGAGATGGTTTTGTAACCTTTTCCAACCTGATGAGCAACAGCAACTCTTTTTCTGAGGTCCTCAGAGATCTCCTTTGTTCGTGCCATGATTCACTT